AATACATCTATTTTGGAGAGGGGGCTGACCAACTGTGCGGAAGAATGATTGCTGAATTGTCATTTGATTCTGAGCGCTTTGAAGTATTGGCGCCACATTTTCCACCTGCTTTGATAGCTAAAATGACGATCGATTTCCGAAATGAAATTAAAAGGGGCTACAGCAACTATCCGCGTGGAGTACAATCCGCTTTTCCTTTTTTTCTATTGCGTCACTCATCCACCACGAGAGTTATCTTCGCCCACGCTATAATATTCACGCCCAATATTTAAAGCAGGAGTGTTTTCCGCAAATTCGCTTCTTGACGATAAGATCGGAGCAACTGTTATTGCAATCGTACGTCGCCAGCGTCTGGACTCAATGCGGCCGGAATTCCTACGGACCAACATGGCTACAGCGTTTCGAAACATCTCCAAAGATATACAGCTGAATAATACTAGGCCAGACGCCAACAGTGCTACAATCGAACATCAATATGAATGGCGCTCATGGTCATGGAATGATGGTAAGCTTGTCCACGCCGTCCCAATGGGTTGAAAATTTCCAGCTCGAGCAAATGTTAAAACTATGTGGAACCTCTGGATTTTTGATGATCATAATGCCAAGATTCGCCCTTTATAGATTGCTCAGTAAGCAACAGGAACTACGTGCCAACGCTTTCCACATCCACTCGCCATCTCCAAAATTGCAGACCCTGTATCTGAATTACGATCACCCTCCACTCAGTTTGGTTAAGATACGTTCGAGACGACGTGAGATAATACCCCGTGACATGTAGCGAGCGTTTGACATTTGAATAAAAGCTCAAACTTCGCCTGAAGCTTATTAAAAGAAATGTTTTAATGCTTTTTTATTAAGCTTCAGGCGAAGTTTGAGCTTTAATTCGAATATAACGGAAAGTGCCAATTGAGTGCGTGGGATCAGTTTTGTGCGCGGTTCGTTGTCACTGCCAATCATAACGTTGCATTGACCGACATCGAGATCTGATTGGCTACTGCTCCAGTAGTCAATTTAGTACACGAGTTTATATAAAGTTTTACAATCATAAATACTTTTTCACAGGTATTAAATGTGAGCCCTTCATTGGTCTCGCGGTAGGAGATATATCAACACGGTTCATCACCATGGTAGTTCGACGGGGGAGGGGCTACACGAAGGAGGACGTACTAGAGGCACTAGACAGGGCCTACGAGGGCGAGAAGTTCGTGGCCGTAGCGAGGACGTCCTCTGTTGCCCTGCGCACGCTTTTCAAGAAGTCTAAGGAGCTGCAGACTACGGGGGAGATAGCGGAAAAGCGCCGAGGATCCAAGCCAGCGTTATCTGTGAAGCAGAAGACGACCTCGTCGCATGGATCGCGGCAATGCAGCGTGAGGGTTTCCCTGTTGGCGCAGCTCGAGTCTTAGAGCGAGCCAACAAGATCAATGAAATGCTCCATGGAGCTACTACCCGCGGTAGAGCACCGTACCAACCGCTTACTAAGGGCTGGTACAGACGGTTTAAAGACCGCCACCCTGAACTGGCGCCTAGAACGGCGCAGAAAATTGCACATGTGTGGAACATGGTGGGCGACGAGGATATTCTCGGCTTCTTCCACGCCGTGTGCAAGCGCGTGATTGAACTACGATTGTATGCTGACAGAGTATACAACATGGATGAGACTTCCTTTATGCCGAAGGGAACATCGAGCAGAGTTCTTCCACTCAAGGGGTCTCCCAATGTCTGGAGTAAAGAGACAAGGCCCTACTTCTACATGACGGTCGTTGCTGCCATCAATGCAGCCGGGGGAGCGATACCTCCTCTCATTATTCTTCCGGGAAAACGCCTTTACTAGGCAGATCAGCATACTATTTCTATCAAGGGTGCGCGAGTGACGGGTGCGCCCAAGGGATTTAGTAATGGAGGAATATTTCGCCTCTGGCTGACCATGTTTGTTGACCAAGTAAAGTCAAGTGGTGTTCGGTTTCCTGTTCTGCTAGTGCTGGACAATAGCTCGACTCACCGCGACCTCGGTAAGTACTACGAATGTTTAAATTATTTTATATCTAATTTCTATCTCTTTGGACGGGTATTTACTTTTAAAGATTCAATTACCGAGGCATACGACATGGGAGTCTGGATGCTTACCCTTCCTCCAAACGCTACACATTTGTACCAGCCTCTCGATGTAGCCGTCTTCAAGCCTTTCGAAAGCGCAGTGGTCGATGCTTTGCAGCTAAAACTGCTAAATACAGCCGATATGGTGCTGTCAAAAAGGACGGCTATTGGGATCGCGTGCTCGGCCTACAAAACGGCCATTATCGAGCGATCCACGAATGCTGTGAGTGGTTTCAGGTGCACTGGGCTGTACCCACCGTCGATTGTGAACATGACAAAACGCTTAAAGCTTCATACGGACGGCGGGGCCAAGGGAAATATCGGTACTGAGGTTTGGATCAAGAGGAAACGGGAGGAAGTTCGTGCGGAGGCTAGTTGTGATGGCCTGGTCGTTCCTCCTGCAGGAAAGCCTAGTAAAAAGGCTAGGATCACTGTTGACATTGAGG